ACACACTGCACACACACACACACAGAGTGCACACACAGTGCACACACACACACACTGCACACACACACACACACAGTGCACACACACACTGCACACACACACACACAGTGCACACACACACTACACACACACACACAGTGCACACACACACACACACAGTGCACACACACACGTGTACAAACACCCCCCGCAGTCCCCCCACCCCGTCCCCCCGGGGTCTCACCGCGTGTCCCCGGCCGACACGGCGCGCGGTGCCTGCAGGGCCGGACCCCCCGGCTGCGCAGGAACCGCTCCCGCAGCTCCAACCGCTTCCCGTTGATGGACACCTGGGGGGACACCACACGGACACCTCAAAGAGAGGACACCCCACGGCCACCTCGCAGTGGGGACACCACACATGGTCACGTCCCTGCCAGTGGGGGCACCTCCCAGTGCAGGACACCTCCCAGACAAGGGGGTCACCTCCCCAGCAAGGGGTCACCTCCCGGGGGGGACACCAAGGGGACATCAATAAAGTGTCATCTTTCCACCAAGGGGTCACCTCCCCAACAACGAGACACCAACAAGGGGACACCAAGGGGGTCACCTCCTCACCAATGGCATCACTTCCCCAATGGGGGATGCCCAGTGGGGACACCAGCAGGGTCACCTCCCAACCAAAGGGGTCACCTCCCAACCGAGGGGACACCAACGGAGCCACCTCCCCAATGAGGGGACACCAATGGGGTCACGTCCCAACCAACGGGGTCACCTTCTCAACGAGGGGACACCAAAGGGGTCTCCCATCAGTGAAAGGACACCGAGGGGGTTCACCCCCCAATGAAGGGACACCGAGGAGGGTCAGCTCCCCACCAAGGTGACACCAAGAGGGATCTCCCCCCAGTGAGGGGACACTAAGGGGGGTCCCCCTTCTGAGGGTCCACCAGTGGGGGTCACCTCCCAGTGAGGGGCCACCAAGAGGGGTCACCTCCCTGCTGAAGGGACAACAAGGGGGGGTCAGGTCCCCACCAAGGGGACACCACGGGTGTTTTCCCCCCGTGAGGGGACACCAGGGGGTCTCACCTCTCCGATGCAGCCACGGAAGGAGGCGTTGGTGGGGGGCCGGAGCGGGGGCTCGGTGCCCCCCAGGTACAGGGGGCTGCGCAGGTTCAGCCCCTGGCTCTTGCCGGGCGAGGAGCGTTTCACGGGGGCCGCGTCATCCACCACGAGGGTCCCGTCCTTGTTCAGCCGCTCGGCCGTCACCCAGTGCCACTGTCCCAGTGCCACCGGGCCCGTGCTCCGCAGCACCGCCGGGCCTGGGGATGGGGGAGGTCACGGGGGGCACCGGGGACACCAGGGGACACCGGGGGACACTGGGGGACACCGGGGGACACCAGGGGACACTGGAGATGCTCAGGAACCTGAGAGGTGTCCCCAGTGATGCTGGGGAACCTTGGTGGTGCCTGAGGACCCCAGTGGTGACAAGGGACCCCAGCGATACCAGGGGACCCTACAGATGTCCAGGAACCCTGGAAGCATCGGGGGACCCCAGTGAGATCAAGGTGACACTTAGTGGTGTGTGAACCCAGTGACCCAGTGGTGCCAGAAGACCCCAGTGACATTTGGGGACTCCAGTGTGGCCAAGGGACCACAGTGATATTTGGGGACCAAAGCAGTGCCTGAGGACCCCAGTGGTGTGACAGTGATGCTTGGGGACCCTAATTCCTAGGGATGTGATGCCAGGGGACCCCAGTGACACTGGGGTACTTCAGGGATACCAAGGGGACCTCAGGAATGCCCAGGGACCCCTGGGGACCCCAGTGGTGCCAGAACACCCCAGTGACACTCGGGGACCTCAGTGATGCCAAGGGCTGGGGTTAGGGTCACCCCCTGGTGACAACAGGGGACCTCACTGATGACCAGGGACCCTGACAGCACTTGGGGACCCCAATGATACCAAGGAACCCCAGCGGTGCCAGGGGACCCCACTACAGCTCAGGGACCCTCGTGACACCAATGGACCCTGGTAAGGTCATGTCACTCCCTACCCCCGGGATCCCCAGAGCCCTCCCCCGCAGTGCCCTCGACCCCGTGCCACCCACCTGAGCCCAGCTCGTAGCGGAACTCGAGGTGGCCCCCGACCATGGCCAAGGCCACGAAGTCCTCGACGGGGGCGGCTTTGCCGGCGCTGAAGAGCAGGAGCCCGTCGGGTGCCAGCGGCAGGAACTCGGCCTCCACGCGCAGCTCGTGGTGCACGTTGGTGAGGGGTGGGTACGACACGAAGGCTCCGTCCTCCTCGAAGGACGGCACGTTCACCGCCTCCCCTGTGCACCCCAGTCAGTGCCCCACGCTGGGACCCCACCTCCATCCCCATGGTGGGACCCAGCCTGCATCCCCAGGTGGGACCCCGTCACCCATCCCCAACATCCATATCCATGGCAGAACCCCAACCTCCACCCCCAACATCCATATCCATGGCAGAAATCCATCCTCCATCCCCAGAGTAGGACCCCATCATCCATCCCCAACATCTATATCCATAGCAGAAACCTCACCTCCATCCCCAAAATCCATATCCACGGCAGAACCCCAACATCCATCCCCAACACCCATATCCACGGCAGAACCCCAACCTGCATCCCCGTGGTGGGACCCCCTACCCCAACATCCATATCCGTGGCAGAACTCCACCCTCCATCCCCAGGGCGGGACACCATCACCCATCCCCAACCTCCATCCCATGGTGGGATCCCATTATCCATCCCCAGCCTTCGTCCTATGGTGGGACCCCAACCTCCAACCCCATGGTGGGACCCCATTATCCCTCCACAACCTCCATACCCACAGTGGGACCCCAACCTCAAACCCCATAGTGGGACCCCAATACCTCCATCCCCACAGTGCCCATCTCCCCAGGCTGGTCCCGATCCCTGTGCCAGTGTCCCCAGGGTGGTGGCAGCCTCGTATCCATCTCCCCAGGGTGGTCCCAACCCCATACCCATCTCCCTGGAACAGTCCCAGCCCTCTATCTGTGTCCTCAGGGTTGTCCCAGCCCCATGTCCACAGCCGGGGGTCCCCAGCCCTGTGCCCATCTCCCTGTGGTGGTTCCCATCACATGCCCACATCTCCAGAGTGCTTCCCACCCCATCTCCGTGTCCCCAGGGTGGTCCCCAGTTATGTCCCCATTTCCCCAGGGTGGTACCCCCCATCCCCGTGTCCCCAGGGTGGTCCCAAGCCATGGCCCAATTTCCCCAGGGTGGTACTCACCCAATCCCCGTGTCCCCAGGGTGGTACCCAGTCATGTTCCCAAGTTCCCACAGTGGTCCCAGGTCTGTGCCCATCTCCCTGGGGTGGTCCCAGCCATGTCCCACCTCCCCGGGACGGTCCCCACCCCGTGCCGTGTCCCCAGGGCGGTGCCAGCCCCGTGTCCCCGTGTCACTCACCCTCAGTGCACCTGTCCCCGCTCTTGCCCAGGTGGCAGCGGCAGGTGTAGCCCTGCCCGTCCGGCCGGTTGACACAGGTGGCATCGGGCCCACAGGCCTCTGTGGGGTGACAAGCCATGAGCACCCGCCGAGAGGGACACCGAGGTGACATCCCCACGGCAGGGTGGTGTCACCTACCTGGGTGACAGTGCAGAGCCTGCGAGTACTCGCAGTTGCTGCCGGTGAAGCCGTGGGGACAGCGGCACATGTAGGTGCCACTCTCGTCGTCCTGGCACACGCCGCCGTTCTGGGGAGGGGGTGACGTGGGTGTCAGCCGTGGGTGGCGATGGGTGGGCACCTCCCACCCCCTCCAACCTCACCTGGCACGGCCGGTCCTGGCAGGTGGGACAGTTGGTGACACCGTGCGCCTGCAGGTCCATGTCCCCAAAGGCCACGTCCTCTCCTTGGATGCGGAGCTGGCGCACGCAGCCTGTGCAGGGACGGGGATGGGCACAAATGCCACGTGATGCCCAGCCCCCCCTCACCCTGCTGCCCCCCAAAACCCACCACTCACCCATGAAGCCGCGGCTGAGCCCTGTCTTGGCCACGGCGCTGATGTCGGGGTACCCGCCCAGGAACAGCTCCTCGTTCAGATCCAGCCCCTGGAACTTCCCCTGCAGGCACAGACGGGTGGGCACCACCTCCAGCACCCTGACCCCCACCCAAACCCGCCACCACCCCCTGAATCACTACCTGGGAGGTGCCATTAACGGGGGGGTGCCCGTCCAGTGCCAGCGAGCCCCAGGTGAGGTTGCGGAGCAGCCGCACGGTGTGGTACTGGCCCAGCCGCAGCGCCACGGGGTGACGGATGGTGGCCATGCCCGAACCGGCATCAAACCTGATTGTTTTGGGGCACAAGGGGTGTGGGTGGGTGCTGGCATCCATCTCCCCCCTGTCCCAGAGACCCACTCGTGGCTCTCACCTGAACTCGGGGCGGCCGCCCACCAGCCCGAAGGAGATGAAGTCGGCGCCACTGTTTTTCCGCTGCCCGTTGTAGAGGAGAAGTCCTGAGGGGTGGGAGGAGGTCAGGCAGGAAGGTCCCCACCCTGGGGTGGGGGTCATGTCCTAGGGGATCTCAAAATCCCCCCAGGATGGAGGAGAACTCCCCCATAAAGTGGAGGGGCTCAGATGAAACAAGAATGGGAGATAAAGGAGGGCAAGGGGAGGATGAAGGGAGGAGGAAACAGTGGAGAGGGCATGGAGGGGGACACAGGGACACGTGGGGGACACGGGCTCACCATCAGCAGCATCAGGCCGGAAGCTGATGAGGATCTCAAACCTCTTGTAGGCGTCCTTGATGGTGGGCAGGGGGAGGAAGGACTGGGGCGACTGCCCGAAATAGGGAACCAGGTGCTCTGTGGGGACAGGGCGGGTCAGGAGGGGTTCGGGGATATCACCCCCACTCCTGCCCAGCCCTCTGCCCATCCACCCCTCCTCACCCTGGACCTTGAGCACGTAGTAGGCCGTCTCCTGGCCGCGGTGGTTGCCGGCGGTGCAGGTGTAGACGCCGCCGTCCTCAGGGCGCACGGCCGGCAGGGTCAGCACGTTCCCCTCCACCCTGGCACCCGCCGGCAGCTCCCCGTCCAGCTGTGACACAGCGTGTGGGGGTCAGCACCCACATAGGGTGCCCCCCGACCTTCCCCCCCGCCCCATCCCTCCCTCTCACCTTGCTCCAGGTGATCTCTGGCACCGGGAAGCCGGATGCCAGGCACGGCAGAACAGCCGCCGATCCCACGGACACCTCCTTCACCTCTGGCTGCCCCGCGATCTGGGGGGCGGCTGGGGACACACGGGGGTGTCACCAGGGCTGCGGTGACACCGTGTGTGTCCCCCAGCTCCGTGTGTGTCCCCCAGCCCTGCGTGCCCACCTTGCACGTGCAGGATGACGTGGGACTGGACGGTGCCCACGGCGTTGGTGGCGGTGCAGCGGTACTGCCCCGCGTCCGCCCGCTCCACCCGCTCGATGGTGAGGGTGCCAGCACGGACCAGCACCCCGGGCCGGATGCGGCCCCCCACTTTGCTCCAGGTGACGTGGGGACGCGGTTCACCCAAGCCCAGGCACTCCAGCTCCACTGTCGTCCCCACCAGCACCGTCTGCACGGCCGTCCGGATGTTGATCAGGGCCCTGGGGAGAGCTTGGGGGGACAGCGGGGTTTTGGGGTGACCCCCTGGTACAGGGAGGCATCGCAGCCCATGGTGCCATGAGAGGAGTGGGAGATGGGGAGAAATGGGGTGCTCAAGGGGATGGGGGGACCAGTGGGATTGGGAATGGAGAGATGTTGGAGGTGTTGGGGTGCTCATGGGCTGGGAAGATGTTGGGGGTGTTGGGGTACCCACGGGCATGGGGAGACAGGGAGTACCAGGGTTGTGATGGGTGTGGGGAGAGATTGAGGGTATTGGGGTGCCTGTGGGCATGGGGAGAGATTTGGGATATCAGGGTGTCCATGGGTGTTGGGAGACTTGGGGGGGTGCCCAGGTGACCGTGGATTTAGGGAAGTGGAAGGTACTGGGGTGCCCCTGCGTGGGGGGAGATGGGGGTACCAGAGTGCCCGTGGGGGATAGGTCAGGGGTCTCCTGTGCCCCGGTGCTGCTCCTACCCTGGACGGTGAGGGTGGCCCTGTCCTCAGCCTGCCCGCCTGGGGCGCTGGCCCGGCACACGTACACCCCCTGTGCCCCCCACGCCAGCTCCGGGATCCTGTGGGGACACAGCCGGGGTGAGGGACCCCAGAGGGGGTCAGGGGGGTCCCACCTCCCCATCCCCCGATCCTTACCGCAGCACCCCGTCCCTCACGCTGTGGGTGGGGGGCAGCTCCCCGCCCTCCTTCAGCCACTCCACACGCGCCCGGGGGTCCCCGGACACGGCGCAGGCGAACTCGGCGGTGCCGCCCACTCCCTTGACCAGGCTCCCCGGGGTCACCCGCACGGCCAAGGGACCACCACCAATGTCCACACCTTCAGTAGTGCCACCTGGGAGGGGTGGAGGACATGGATGGTACCAGGTGGCACTGGGATCACCCGGGCGGGATGCAGAGCCCGGTAGTACCCAGGAGCACCAGTATCACCCGGGCAGCACCAGGAGCACCCAGGAGTGACGCAGAGCCCAGTGGCACCCTGGTCCCAGAGGGCTCACCGTGGACGGCCACGCGGGCGAAGGCCTCGGCGGTGCCCACGCGGTTGGTGACCAGGCAGCGGTAGGTGCCGGCGTCGGCGGGGGCGGCGGGGCCGATGCGCAGGAGGCCGGCACGGTGGGACACGCGCCCCGACAGGCTCCCGTTCACCTTGGCCCAGGTGTAGTGCAGCGGGGGGGTGCCGTGAGCCAGGCACTGCACCTGCAGCGCGTCCCCCGCGCGCACCGCGGCGTCCTCCGGCAGCACCGTGGCGTACGGAGCGGCTGCGGGATGCACGGAGCCTCAGCGGGGATGGGGCCGGGAACGGGTCAGCGGGGCAAGGAGGGTGTTGGAGCGGGGTGTGGGGGGGATGGAGGCGGGTGGGTGTTGGGATGGATGAGGGTTGGATGGATCTGTGAGGAAGGGATGGATGGAGGAGTGGGAGAGGAGATGAGATATGGATGGCTGGGACAGTGAGTGATGGATGGACCTACCGGGAGGGAAGGATGGATGGAGGGATGGATGGATGGATGGATGGATGGAGGGATGGATGGGTGGGTGGATGGATGGATGGAGGGATGGATGGATGGAGGGATGGATGGATGGATGGAGGGATGGATGGATGGATGGAGGGATGGATGGATGGATGG